CTGCTGAACAACAGCCAAATCTTTATCCCATTTGAAGATCCAGTGTTAATACTTTGCATTAAATAAAAGCAACATGTATATCCTGCACGATATACATGCGAGCACTTTGTACTTCTCAAGACCTTTGAATCAAGCAGGGAATAAGGCAGGCCAGTGCTTCAGAAGTTTGTATTATTTGTACTGGCCCTTCCCCACCACTTTGGTAGCCTGCTCTTGACCAACAAGGCCTTAAGTGGTGAACCCTGGGAGCTTGCAGCTTGCCAAGACCAGCATCCAAGTTTCAGTGGTTCTCCAGTAGCTGAAGATGTAACTACAATCAAAAGAGTTCAGGGTGATGTGCTTAATTGTAATTACTTAGTTGCTTGCAGTGCATCTGGAGCAGAAAATAAAAGTCCTCAGACCCTCACAGATAAAGTTAAGGGAGATAATCTTTAACAAGCTCTAGTTCTTTTTTAAAAATACTCTTACTATCAGGGTAAATCCTACTCATCTTCCTTAACTCTGCTACCTTCATTGAGACTGTAACAAGGAACTAGAGGCAGGAGTATCAGCTCTCTTGTAACATCAATTTACACACTTTAAGATGTATTTAGAAAAGCTTTAATTTAATTTTGAAAGCGACTTTCCTTCACTTTGCTTGCCTAACTGGAAGTCCCTAAAATGGCGATGGAAAAATAGCTCCTTAAGCCCCAATATTTTCTGGATCATTGCAGTTCTCACTGATCCTACACAGCTCCTCAGCACCAGATGCTGCAGCATCCAACAGATCCCAGCTCATCTACACCCATATAAGACAAGAATGTCATATTAACCTGAGTGTTGGTGCTGCCAGGACAGCCCTGTCCTTCTCTGTGAACCTAAAATTCTCACTGTCCTCTTTTAATGAAGCACATCACAACCCAGGCCAGTGTCAGAAGCCACAGGCATTCCCTGTAAGAGAACTTAGATGGCAGGTTTGTTGGGGGCAGAACTAGAACTCAACTCCTGTGTACATTTATTCCTATGCTTCACCTGCAGCTTCTACCCAGACATTACGACCAACGGAGAGATCCCTTACCAAACACCATCAAACAACAGGGAAATACAAGAACCAACACCATGGCTTACCAGGCCTGGGTGCTGGTCCCAGTTCCTAATGCCATCTACCAAAACTGTCCTTTTTCTTTAAAAAAGTATGTAGGCTAAGTCAGCATAGACCTTTTATCTGAGCCTGAGACAAATGAAGACAAGCTGAACCACCGTGAGTCCCCGAAATTCCCAAGATGTCTGCTTTTAAGCAGGGTAGCAAGAGCATCTTTGTTGGAGTACATATTTATAAAAAGACAATGGAAGTATTACATAGCTCTGCATCAGAAGGAGAAAAAAACACTTGACAAAAGGGAGGAAGGGAGAAAAAACAGACACTTTGCAGTTGTCTGTGGATTCTGGATATGTCAGCCCTGTTGCTAATGATCTGTACCTTTCATAGGTTCTAGTCACACAGAAACTTCAACATGCACCTAACATTTGTATTTGAAATACAGAGTTTAATGGGATACTATTGATAATGAAGTTGAGAAAGTATGCAAGAGCTTGCAGGACAAGTGATGCATAAACATGGATGAATTAGACTGCTCAGCTATCCCAACTACTTTGTTTGGATGTAAATAGCTCCACACAGCTCAAAGCACTAGAGAATGAGCCCTGTTAAACCAGGCAGTGTTTCTTTATGCCATTAACCAACTAATGAAAAAAAGATTGTGACTAAATGGAAAAAATATTTCAGAAGGGAAAAAAAACAAAAACAAACAAAAAACCCAAACGAACAAACAAAAAAACCCTAAAGGCTTCATGAAGGAAAAGACCCACATTTCTGTCTGTCACACAGGACCCACACACAGTGCATGGAGAATGAAACACTGGAACTTGTAGGACTGTGTGCTGAGAGAGGAGCTTTCTACAATAGCCAGACGAGCTGGAAAGGCGAGACAAAGGTGCCAGGTTTGGATGCATCTGGGAGGGATTTCAGATCTTGAACCCTTTTTCTGGTAAGATTTTAGCCTGCAACTTTCTTTCTCACAGAATTCTTGAGACAGAGGTGGAATTTGATGGAATAATAACCTTTTAGTTCCAACTTGGGTTCAGATCCAGCCCTTGTGAGAGAGACCTATCTCCACACCTCAGCTGTGGGAAAATTGTTTCCGTTTCAATAGAATATTTCCATCAAGCCCAAGTTTATACCTCACCCTCCTGTCCTAGGAATCAAAACAATCATTCAATGGAGATAAAAGAGCAAGTTTCCTTTAAGAAGAGTTTGAAGTCCTGTTTCCTACAGTCTGGAGGAATGCTTTAATGAGTAGGCTGCCGCAGAAAGGCTCCACAGGCTTGACAAAAGCCCATGTTGAGAGTCCCTGCTCCACCATCAGAACAGGCAAAAGTCCCTTCTGTACCTTTAGGTACACTAGGCAGCAGATATGTGCATGCTTCTAGGATTTGATGAGAGCTGCATGGGGCACTCAGGGATTTACAGCTGGGACTTGGGCACCTAAGGGGGGTCTCATTGTGCCAGAGCACTCCAAAACCATATAGCACAGTTTGCCCCAATATTTCAGGATAAAACTGGGTGGACAAGGGTGAAGCATACGAGTGCAGATGCAGTTACCAGCTTCTCAGTAGACATTCAGCAGATTGCAGAAATCTAATCCTCTAGGAAAGATTCTGTTAAACCCTAAACCCCAATACATACAGAAAACATCGTGGCAGTAAACATGCCCACATACAGTAGTTAAAATATATTATTGCATATTATAAACATTATATACAAGGTTAAAATGGTTTTCTTACCATTTACTTACAAATGACATTTGTAGCTGAATGCCTTACTTACAAGTCCTCATTGCTACATGCTGAGAACTACCAGAGGTATTTGGCAAGACTATATACTATAGAGAGATATGGACCAGTCTGAGCAAGGGAGCTCTGTCAGCCACTTTTCCCATGTTTAGCACTGCACCAGTTTTTTAGCAATGACTGAGAACTACTGGTAAAAGTGATTTACACCTGATTTCTGAAACTAGATCATCATGATTCCTTGTCTTAAAATTAACTTATCCACACTGCAGTATGGATTTAAATCCTGCATTTCACATTTGCAGTGGGTCATCTGGTTACAAATCCAGGGGCTGGTAACTGCTTATACACTAGAGAGTGGGGAACAATAAATAAGGGACCAGGTTAACATGAGTGGCCTTATGCTTGACAAACTCAAGTCTATATGCACTGGGTGCATGTGTGGAGAATGGACAATATTTTCAAAGCAGTTTTGTAACAGTTTCTCTGGGGAATCTTCTGCTTTCCAAGAAGAATGAAATGCTGTGGTTCCTTTCAAAAGGGCTCAGCTTGAGGCTAGATCTCTGTCAGTGTGATCTTGAAGCCTTCAACCATGCTCTCCATGTGCAGGATGAATGTGTCCTCATTGGAGTAGTGCTCAATAATGTTGTCATCCATATTTACCAAGATACTGGTGACAAAGACAAAAAAAAAAAGTATTTTCATGTACCAGGACACTGCAAGAAAAAGCCATGCACTCTATGGCACGTGCTTGCTTCACTACAATGTGAAAAAACAGACTCCAGCACAAGATAGTACTAGCACAACAGTGAGAATCATCATCAAGATCTGTCCCAAAGTCAGATTAGAGGCTGCTACTTGCCAAAGTAGTTAAGATAAGAGGAATGCCCATGCTGGGATGTTAACCCACTTTATGAGCTGCCAACAAGGGGAGCTGCACTCTAGATCCCTGGCAGACCTAGGGAGATGGTGTTTCCCATGTCTGGTGTTGGCTCCCCCAGGTACAGCTCCATGCATAAGCTGCTGCTCCTCTGCAGTGGGGAAGCAGTGTCATTTGTGCTTTGCACACAGCTCACAGGTGTAGATCTCAATTTGGATGTGAGAATATCAACAACAAATATTAGAAGTGTATAAATAGAATGTTTTCCTCACTCTTTAGGGTAAAGTGTTTTTTCCATCAAATACAACCCTTGGAAACAGTGTTAGAAAGAAGAAGAACATGAGAAGTTTCAACCTCTCTTGTCAAGAGCTAAAGAAATTCCCAGACAAAACAACTCCCTAAGCTAGAGAGACAGCTGAAAATCAACAATTTATTTAAAATTATAGCATTACAATACTATGGTTGTTTAGAAGTAAAAAAGTTAAAGTGGAAAGATTCAGATTTATGGCAAGGAGTAATAGCCTAGCTATTCTAAAGTCACAGCTGTAATGCTCACATCTAAATTTACTCAGTTGAAACTCTTGCAGCAAGCACTGCCTGCCTGCTTTTTAGATTTGGGCAGCAGCCTGCTTCTTCCTAACACTGCAGGGAAACTCCACACTCCGTTCACAGCAAAGCCTGTCCCTCTCCCGTGCTAGTGCTCCACCACGTCAAGTGTATAGACTACAGAAAAGAATTAATTAAAATACATTTTCCAGACACAAAATCTGTACCTTCACAGTAAGCCCATTAATAGTGGGTGAGAGACATACTGGAGATTCATGTTTCCTCCTCTGCCACTCCTTGCTGTCTCCACAGACAGCAATATTTCAGGGTTATGGATATGTCTCCTGAAAGTGTTTCTACTGCCCAGCATCACATAATACCATAGATTATCATAGAACAGTTTGGGTTGGAAGGGATCTTAAAGATCATCTCGTTCCAACCCCCTCTGCATGGGCAGGGACACCTCCCACCAGACCAGGTTGCTTGAAGCTCCATTTAAGTCTTGAACATGTCCAGGGAGGGGGCAGCCACAGCTTCTCTGGGAACAACTTTATCATGATGCCCCAAGCATTGCTGGCATCTCTGAGTGCCTCTAAGGGACCCTGCAGTAGTCCCTAGTCAGTTAGTTTACTTACCCCTTTTTGCTCTTCTTATAAAGTTTTGCAATCTTTTCAACTGGAAGCCCATACTTCTCTGAGATCTGAAATAATAATTAAAAAAATTAAACAACATTCAATAATGACAAATATGAAGTGATCACCTCTTTCACCTAAGGCATTACAACACTACCTCTGCCAACTTCAACAGGATAGCTATACAGAAAAGTTACTTGCAACCATACCAGGGATTCATTTAAAGATGATTCAGGGACGTATAATTCTAAACATCTTGACCAAAAAACCACAATTGTTTCCATCCAGAAATTTAGATGCTATAGTTTTCATAGGGCGTGAGTCATCAAAACTGCCTCAGCATCTCCTACTGCTCTGCTCAACACTCTTCCCAGCTTCAGATTTTACCAAGGAATTTCAACCTGATAGCCACCTTTCTGCCTCTTCTTACTCTGATCCTCTGGGCTTTGGAAGCCAAGTCTCTTTCCACTGAGCAGAAAGCAGGTAAGCAGCAACATAACATGAGCTGATGGATAGATAGATGGATCAACCAAAAAATGTGCACATTTCTATTTCTCAATGACATGTCAAGGTTTGTTAAGCTAACAGGACCCTCCATGGTACTTCTTTTGTCTGTAAAGTATCTTCAAGGCACATTGTATTATGGGAGGGCTACACATACATTACACACGGGATTAGGAAGCTTCTGTATTTTAAGGGAGGTGACTCAGTCTGATTACTGGGGTGGCAAAATGAGAACACTTTGGCTCACAAAGCAACACCTGAGTACAGACAATCGAGATGCTGCAGAGGTGTTAACAAGGTAAAGGACTTCTAAAATCAACCTATTGACAGCTACTCAAACTACAAAGCAGAAAATATAGGAAAACTTTTGAAGAAAGACCTACTTAGCTGACAAATTACTCTCACTAACAAGCCCTTCACTGGGATGATTTGGCATTGCCTACAGGAGTGTCTTAACTTTTTTGGATGTCCATTCTGCTGTGAGCCTGTGGTGTGCTCATGGAGATGGTGTCCCTGATCTCACAGTCTGAGCAAGGTTTCCTTTCAAATTATGACTCTTCTTTGAGGGAACAGGTCTCACAGCTCATACTTAGAAGAAGATTGTCCCAAAAGGTAAAATAATTATGGAAAAATAACTTTGAGAGAGTGATTAATGCAATGTGATACTCTCTGGCCAGTTAAACTAAGTTTCCTGCTCTTCCCAGGTGAAATAAAGTTGCAGCTAAATAGCTGACCATTTATCTTCTGCATTAGAATTGAAACACACAATTAAAAAATTCATTTAAAGACTGCCAAACATCAGTCACTGTATAATCTTTTATTTGTGTTTGTGTTCAGACTTCCACTGAAAAAAAAGTGATATTTTGGAGAAGTAAATTAAAGCAATTAGCATTAAATAGAAAATGGAAATAAAGCAATGCACAAACTCAACCACAAGGACAAAGAGCCACAGATTGAACCCCAAGCACAGCTCCCAGCCAGGATTCTGTGAGAGAGAATTTACTAGCCTATACTTGCCTACCATCACCTATAAATTGCATAATTGTGATCTTACCTAAGACACAATTTTGTACTTAAAAGGATACTATAATTCAGCAATTCTGAAGAACAAGTAAAGCTTCTTTTACACTGCAAACAGTTTCCTCTTACCACAGTGTACATCTGTGGCTAACAGAAAGGGAAGGATGTAAATAAACAGTAACTACTGATAAGGTACTCTAGACCCATCCAGTCCCTAAGTTTTACACCTGGCCAAAAACCAAATACAAATTAAATTGGGGGTTGTATTTTCTACTTCAGTATTAGTTACACCAGCATGTTTCACTGCCTTTTGGGATATGGTGCTGGAGGTACTGATGTTAGTCCTGGTTCCATGTTCTCACCTGCCTTGGGAGAGACCTAACTCAGCATGAAGGTTACACAAGCTCATGGGCTGTACGGTCCCACTCTCCTTGCTGGGGGGAACAGGCCACTTTCTATGTTCATGAGAAGAGGGGCTTCACCCCACTTGGCTCATATATCACACAAGTATCCTCACTATCAGACTACAAACTAACCTTTTTCACTCTGATCTCTACCAAGCCTATGCAAAAGGCTCTGTGTAGCCTATGGAAAAGCTATGTGACCACATGCACAGAGGAGAAATACCTCCATAACATCCATATATATGGAGCATGCACACTCCATAACATACTCAGCTTATCTGAAGCAAGTTCAAGTCTTTGTTCCAAACAAGGCAGAACAAGGGTGACACAACAACATGGTTTGCTGTACCCCTGTGTGGGATGTCCTAACCTGTCTCAGCTCCTTTTACACTTCTGTAGGCACTCACACCCTGCCCCTCACTCACACTCTAGCCCTGGCTACCACCATGTTTCAGTGTCTTCCTTACTTCAGTGCCTCATCTTGTGCTGCCCATGGAGGGCAGCTGCCTGACCTGAGGCTGGTGACTCCTCTGGGGTACCCAGGTGCCACACTGTGAGGACAGATCTTGACTGTCTTAGAGAAGTTCTCAGAGGACATGTCACGTTCTCCTCTTATTCCTTCATACATTCTAGCTTTGCTTACCTAAGTCTGAATAGAAAGACACCAGATGAACCATCTGGTGATGAACTTTTGTATCTGTGGCTTTGCTGTATCCCTAAATTTAAGCTTTCATGTAAAGCAACAATAAAAATGGCTCCATTACATCAGATTGTTGAAAATTCCTTTGTAACAGGCAAGAGGAAAAGCAACCTGAAACTGCAGAAAAGTCACAACTGTCTGAACATGAGGAAATTATAGATCTTCGGGGTTTTAACTCTGAAGCATAGTGATCTTGTAAAGATCAGTGCTTGAAGACATTTTTCACTGACTCCATGCAAATAAAACAAGTGGGGAGAAATATTCCCGTGCCAAGGAGGTTTAATAGTAGCTAATATGCAGCATTCTGCACGTTCCAGCATAAAACTTTCCTAGAATATCTGGGATACCTAACACTCAGGCATTCCAAATGTTGCTCAAAGTGGTTTTAGACTCTGGGACATCATTTCCTATGTAAGTGATGAGAGGTAGGGCTGAGAAAGCCTTGCCTGTCACACTGCCCATGACAGGTGTGGGATTTATATAACACACAGGGATTAGTGAGCTTTGCAAAAGGCTTCGAGCTGACTGAACAAGCACATTTCTCAGGAACCTCTAAGGATTCAACCAATTATACAAAGCAGTGAGCTGTGGACACAAGGCTCAAAGGGGGTGTACAGGCGAGCCTCCCACTCACAGGCTCAGAAAACAAGTCTCCACTGCAAATGCATTTCAGAAGGGGGTGTTAAGTGAGATGCCCCAGCAGATGCTGGCTCTCTGCTTTCTCAGATTCTGTAGCAGGACTTGCCAACTTGGGGAACACTGCTACTGCCAACTTCCATATAAAACAGCAGGATTTCTCACCTGACCCCAAGCAGGCTACAATACATTTTTAAAAGACACTGTTATTCAGAGGAATATTTTCCTTTACCAGCTCTGTTGTCCATTTCTCAATCTTCTAAGCAGAGAATTCTCTCCTCTTAGGATGCCTGAAGCAGTGGGACAGCCTTAAGAGTGGGAGTGAAATAACCAGCTGGGTGTTTCTCTGGGCTGCAGTCCCCTGGCATAGCAACTTTGGAGCATATATACAATTGCCCAAGCCAGCAGAAGCCATCCTGTGCTGGAGTCAGGAAGACAGAAAAGGCAACATCTGGGCTGGTAGAGGCACACAGGAAAACATCTTTGCCACCTTATTTCTATGGAATGGTCCAGTCTGTTGCCCCACATTGGTTGGAAGAACATGTACATAGACAGGTATGAAATAAACTTTGATCTAAGTCAGCTCTTTTGAATTCTGGTGTTAGCTTTTAATATTAGAAAGACTTGGGAGATACTTGAATTTGCCAATTTAGATTGCCTTATTTAATTTGAATAAATATACAATTCTGCACAAGGTAAGACTGGGGTATCTACTGAGATTCACAGAGTTTCCCTTACTTTGGATCAGTCTGAGAGCAGGACTTAGAGCTGCTCAGTCACCACATATGTATGATGCTTTATGACGGGCAGTTGTTTTACTATTCTCTGAGTAATGTAGGATGCAAACATCTTAAAAAACAAACACTTGCATCACCTTCTGAGATCTACTGCATCTCTGGAGCCGAGACCTCTAGATAGTTGCCAGAAGCAAGAAATCTGAGAAGGAATCTGATTGTTCATTTGAAATGGGGGTATATGAGAGAATAAAATAAACATAGTATCTGGGAAAATAATAGCATTAATCATGGGAAAGCCACAAACCATGAATAGTGATTAGGGGAAAAAAAAAAAAAGTGAAATCCATAAACAGTGGAGGATATAAATCAGGATCATTGGTGATGTCTTTCAGTTCTGGGACTCTACAACAGTCAGAGCCTCAGTTTCTAACTTCTTAGTACTGAGTACAGAATTGAGTATATGCACAATTATAAAATTACACAATTTGCTGAAAAGACTGTAGAGTGTATTTAAGAGTATGAAATTTGACAGGTTTTTGGCATTGATTTATCCATGATATCCTACCCAAGAGAATGAAAATTTTCGGAATGTGTTCTTTCCAGTGAACTGGGACATTTTACAACAGATCAGATTTCTCTGGTGCTGAAAACAGGCCACTGAGTCAGCAGCTGTGCTGACAGAAGTATGCAGAAACCCTTCCTGCTTCTGCACCAGCTTTGTTTTTATGTTAGACAGTGGCTGGAAAACAGGCATGGAGAGGCACAGAACACTGGAGATAAAATATTCATGTTCACTTGAAAGGTTATTGAAGGACTATAGCATACTTTTAACTTCCACACAAAGACAAGATGAAATTGTGTTACAGCTGATCACAAATCAGACTGCAGCCTCTTCAAGTGAAGCCTGGCTTTTATTATACCCAATGTTCTGTGTTACAACTGAGCTGCAGGCACAGAAACAAACAGTATCAACAAAAGCACAGTTAGGACATCCTTAGAATGCAGCTGACCCTCCTCAGAGATACCTTCACCTGAATAGGTGCTTTAAACATCCTCACTAACCCACAATTATTTTTTTTGCCTTCTGCTACTGGCCAAATATTGACCAAATAACTCAGTCTTTACTGCATTCAAAGCATTTGATACATGCATCAAGACACTGTGACAGTTTTATGAGAGCATTAATGTACACACTTCTAGTGCTCAGCTGAGCTCTCTAAAGACACTTTCATCCCTTCCTGTCTTTTTTCCTACACATAGCTAAGGTTGGAAATCAACTCAGTGTCCCACATGTCAATCTCACATTAGTCCTCCCACCAAAGCAGACACTCACTGCTGCTTCTTCACTCTACCTACCCTCACCAAATCTCATACATCTACTAGCTATGACCTCATATAAACAGGATTAAATGTGGAAATAGCAAGTCATAATTTCAAATAACAGGTAAAAAGCAAAATGTCAAGTCAAAGAAGCAGTAAACAGGTAGGCTGGCAGGTAGGTCACTCTGGGAGTGAGGGCTAGAGAAGGGAGGTATGAAGGAACAGTCTGCATTGGCTCAGAAACTGCCTTATTGCTGGAAGAACAATTGCACAAAAGCCACATGAAATTCACACAGAAACAGTGCAATCCTTGGGCCTCTTCTTTAAAAGACAGCTGTGAACACACCAATGGACATTACAGAACATTCATTCAACAGGCTCTGAAACATCAGTTCAGAAAGAAATATTACACAAAATGGAGCCTGCATCTCCCTGCTTCCCTCACAGTGGTTAATTACTGCCATTCCTCAAGGCTCAGGTGTCCAATAACTCAGCTCGGTGACTCTATTTAACCCCAGTAACCTGCTGACAACACTGAGTTCAGAACATGTCAGCATGACATATGACAGTTTGAGTTGGAAGGAACATTGAAGATCACCTAGTTCCAACACCCTGCATGGGCAGGGATATCTCCCACTCGATGGGGTTGCTCAAAGCCCCATCCAACCTGGGCTTGAACATTTCCAGGGAGGAGGCAGCCACAGCCTCTCTGGGCAACCCGTTCCAGTGTCTCACCACCCTCAAAGGAAAGAATTTCTTCCCAATATCTAATCTAAATCTACCCTCTTCCAGTCTGAAACCATTCCCCCTCAGCCTGTCACTACATGTCCTTTATGAAATGCTTTGAATGTATTTGAGAATAACTTGATCTTTATGTTTTATCTCAATAATACACTGAAAGCCTCAAGACTTTCTTGCCAAGAAAGACAAACAATGTGAGGACATTGGATACTTACCGCTTCCATTAACCCCTTTACTGTGGGTGATTTCAGCATCAAAGCATCAAACACCTCATCTGTCTCCTTCCTCACATACAAAAGCACTGAAACAGAAAAAAAGTCAAGCTTGGAGCAGGTTCAGTCAAATGAATAGATTAAACACCCCACACTGAGTAGAAAAACAAATATTAATCCATGACAGATAAAACAAAGTGCTGAAGATGGCTTGCACTTAAAAAAAAAGTACTCTTATATCCTCAGTGATGTAAACACAGAAGATACTTCATAGTTGCTTTGAAAACACACAAAGACAATTCAGCAAATTTAATTTAACGTGAGGAATCTATATCTTCAAGAATTAGACCTCCATTTACTGAAATAAGAGAAGGTAAAAAGTGCTGGGGCCCTGTCCCTGGGTCATAGGACAAAACACACAAGCTATGTCTTCCTAAACCTGTGTCTCATCTTGCACCTCTCCAGACTTCATCCTAAAGGATGGGAAAGGATGTTCAGAAAAGACAAGTCTGGTTTGCCTATAGCTGAGCCTTTGACAGTAAAGTCAATGAAAAGAAATAGTTCTCTCTGCCATTCATCCACATGGATGAATGCATATGGGCCTGGCCAGTCTGAAAAAAATAAACACTGACAAGAATTAGTCCAAAGTCATTTAAGACTTTACAGGGGAGACATACAAAAAAACATCTAACAGGCAGGCTTCTTTTCCTCCCTCAGATGACCTGCCAGGCCTTAGTGGTTCACAGGTGCAGTGCTCTGCCCTCCCTAGCTCTTGTTCTCCCCTCTGACTTGTACAGGTAAAAGAGGAAACTTGCCATTACCTGGGAAAAGCAAAGCAGACAGCTACAAACTGAGTAAACAAACACCAAAGAAGTGTTTTAGGTGTAATCTCACATGACTCTGACACAGTAGTAGGTTAAATAAGATGTTCTGCAATTTACTTTGTTCCCTAAATAAACTGCCTTTTCAAAAGAATTCATGTACCTGCATGTCAGGTACAAATACACATGCACTGTTAGGTATTTTAGGCCTGTGTGGCAAACTACATTTGTAATAACATAATTTTTTTCTTTTTTTTAATAGACAGAAATATCTTGAAACTGCTAATCCTTGTAGTCCAAAAGATACCTTCACCAAGCAACTCAATAGAGGACCTGAAGATGAACCAACAGAGATTCTGGTATTTTTCATACAGAAGCAAGTGTTTGGAAGCTAATTCTCAGGTCAAGACTGTAGCAGGGTGGACTCAGGTCCATTTGCAGAGAAATGTAGCATCTTAGACCAGGTTTTGAAACGACTGAAAAAAGATGTAAAGCATGGGCAGATCAGTCTCCTGTTTTGGTCTACAAACCAAGCATGCAGGACAAGGGTGTAATTTTGCATCTTTAATTCAGAAGCATGAGACACAAAATTGCTGCCACAGGCATGGAGAGCCATCCTTTTCCCCTAGATTTTGGTAATTCTTGAGGACCTGCCTGAGATTGTCCTTTTAAAGCAGCCATGAGGAGAAAGACTTGGTGGTGCTCAACATGAGCCACTAATGTGCACTTGCAGCCCAGAAAACCAACAGTATCCTGGGCTGCATCAAAAGACGTGTGGCCAGCAGGTGTGGGGAGATGATTCTTCTCCTCCACTCTCATAAGTGCTGTGTCCAGTTCTGGATCCCCAAACATAAGAAGGACATGGAACTCTCAAAACAAGTCCAGAGGAGGGCCACAAAGATGATCAAAGGGCTGGAGCACCTCTCCCATGAAGACAGGCTGAGAGAGTTGGGGCTGTTCAGCCTGGAGAGCAGAAGGCTCTGGAGAAACCTCACAGCAGCCTTCCAGTATCTGAAAGGGGCTACAGGAAAGCTGGGGAGAGACTTTTAAAGGGCATGTGGTGACAGGACAAGGGGAAACTATTCCAAACTGAAAAGAGGGTAGATATAGATTAGACATTAGGAAGCAATTCTTTCCCATGAGGATGGCAAGACATTGGAACAGGCTGCCCAGGGTATCTGTGGATGCCAACTCCCTGGAAGTACTCAAGGCCAGGTTGAATGGGGCTCTGAGCAGCCTCATCTGGTGGGAGGTGTCCCTGCCCATGGCATAGGGGTTGGAACTAGATGATCTTTAAGGTCCTTGCAACACAAACCACTCTATGATTCTATAAAGGACTTGGAAGCTGAGATAACTTTAGGGCACAACCTACACAACTATCTGAATATAAGAGAACAAAAAAAGTCCTCATCACTAGTTAAACGTCAGTGGGTTTGATATGTTTACTTGCATGAGCAAACACTTGCACTGACTGCCAATTTTACCTGTACTAACATTTTTATAATGTAATGATTCTTCTCTTGTGGCTAGAGGACTGTCCTGTAACTACTGGCTTTTCAACCATCTAGACCTCTGTCAGCCTGAATAATTACAAACATATCTGAAAGGAGGAAAAATCACTTGGTCCAAGGTTAAAACAGGGGACAATATACCATCCAAGTGCTGAGCTTTAAATCTCTCTGTTGTGTTTGACATGTCAGGCAATGTTATGCTGAATGAAGGATCCATTACAAGGGTAACAGGGAACTTGAATCACCCTTACACACACAGAGAGCCAGGATTAGTAAACATATGGAAGTTGCTGGATTTTTCTTTCCCAACAGGTTTTTAAAACCCCGGTGTGATTCACAAGGGCACTTTTTAATGAATGACTTCTGGTGATAGTGATGCCTTAAGAAGCACCTGTGCCCTCATGCTTTGCTACTCTGACCTATCTCAATTAATTTTCCCATGCCTTGAACTTGCTTGAAGAGCAGATGCAAATGAAAAAACAAGCCTATTTTTCATTGTTCTTCAGACAGATCAGGTCCCTGCTTCAAGATACAGTGCAGTCCCACCAGCCTTCGTGCTGGCTCACAGCAGAGGTAAGGGGTTGCAAAGGGTCCACTGGGCTCAGCAGCATCAACACTGAATGCCAAGTCATGACTTGTGACAATGTGACAACTCATACTGAAGCCCCTCTGATCCTACTGTCACTGTGTTTGTTGCATTTAGATGGTGTCACTTTAACAGTACCTGTTGTAACTTTTTTTGGGGGGAAACAAACAAACAAAAAAACCCAAACAAAAACCAAACAGCTTGTGTCAGGCAGGGAGCTACTTTTGACAGAAAGTAACAAACTCAAATTTGCCTGACCTCAGTTCTTAACCTTCTTGCCAGTATTGAAACTCACTGTGGTCCCCAATGCTCTTCAGACACTCAAAAGAATTGTAAAAGATGTGTGTGATTAATGTATTTTTAGTTACTTAAGAAATAGCCCTGATTCACAGAATTGTGGAGAGGAAACCAGCTTTTGCTGAAGGTAAGGGAGGCTGTTGCACCTGGGAAATTTTTGGAAGCCAGGCTACTGAACTGGGGATTTAAGTGTGAATGCAGAAGACCAATGTTAGATACCTCTTTCAAAAGTGTTAACAGCTTGGCTCTCCATTGGCAAATCTGGCACAGCAGAAGACAAGCAACTGACACATGGTAAAAATGGGATTACAGACATGATGGGTCAGTAAGTCCTCCTGCTTGGGCCACATCCAAGCCCAGGCATTACCAATGCCCTGACTGATGGTTACTGAAGAGTCTTGATGAAGTGGTCTCTGGATGGGGATGTGGCACGTTTTAGGCACGGAAAGTAGGGCTGGTAGTTGTGACCTGGCTTTCCTTTCCCATATTTGGAATTTTCACTAATTGCCCAGGAACAAATTCCCTCAGGGACACAGAGCATGATGGTTCACAAAGGGATGGTTCACAAAACCATATCTGTTATAAATCCAAAATGTTTCAGATAGTTTAACAAGACTTTCCTGAGAGGCAAAAGCTGGACAACAGTACTGCTTGCTTCAAGCTGAGAGCTACACAACTAGGCATCTCCCTGATCACACAGCTGCTGGATCAGGGGGAAACTCCCTATGAAATCTGAAAGTGATTTGAAAACTCTTACCGAGAACTTAAAACAGGAAAAAGCCACAAGTTTAGCCAAGTAACTAGTTGTGCTGCACACTTGGTACAGATTAACATACTTTATATTTCTGTGTTAGGCACTTGGACCTCCCTTAGAGGTCAAGGAGATGAAAGAGTAATTCATAAAGATGCAGCCACCTGTGTGACAATATGAACTTTGTTTTACCAATTGTTTGCAAACTCCTTCAGTTCTCTTCTCTGGAAGGCTACCTCTTAATACTTTTGTTTCCACGGGGCAGTATTACAAGTAGGTCCATTAGACAGAGGAGAGGCCACACACTGTCACTTCAGTTCTTCAGCTGAACTTGGACCCCTCACTGGGTGCTACTGACACCTGCACTGCAGCAGGGAGCTGCCTTGGGATTGCATTGCTTCTAACGCACCATTTCACGTATCAGATCTGTTCTCTCTCAAACATTACACTGGTACCCCGTCTATATCTGCTCTCTAGAATTATTGATACTGCTGTACCAAATAAATCTGGGAGAAAAAAAGCTTCTAGTATGGCTGAGTCTGGGAAAACCAGTAGTGACAGTAACCCAGTGAGTGACTCCTGTGGCAAGGGGAGTACCGTCAAACAGGCGGGCTCAGCTGAGCTGCGCTCCACAGCACAACCCCAGATGCAGGGTTCCCAATGGCAGGAAGTTCACCAGAGCAAAGGCCATGCTAGAGGAAGTTTGGCCTCCAGCCAGCATGTTCCAAGTTGCAAGAAACACTGAACAGGAGGGGGATGTAAAGAGAGGATCCACCAGCTTCTCTGGTTCCAGGCCTCTCCTGGATTTAATTAGTTAACACAGTTTTGCCACTAGTTGATAAAGCTTTTTTTTTTCTTTCAAATCTTCCCCTTGAAATGGTTGCAAGTTCTGGGTGATATTAAAACAACTCACCACAGCAAAAGACAGCAATAATCAAAACAAATCACTGTCTTCTTGCAGGCAACCATCCAGGCTTTGCGCTGGGAAACCCAGTTGGAATTGCAGGAAAAAGTCTGCCTTTATGCAACCCTTGTAGCTGTCCCCTTCTGCCTGATGGAGCAGGCCTTGAATCAACCAGATGTAAGTCTGTAGTCAGGACTATCTTACATAATTAACTGAAGATCTAATCAAAAGAACATGCTCACATTTATTCCAGGAAGAACCAGTCTCCATACTGTAATCTTGTATGCTTCTCTTGGTTCAAGCACACCACTCTAACCAACTGAGCAGCTTTGCAAAGGCAGGATCATGGTAAGTCGTTTCTATAAAGTCTCACACGTGGTGCAACTAAGAACAACTGAGCTCACTTCTGTACCTTGTTGCTTTGCTGTCTCTCAAACTAATAGTTAAACCTTAAAACATTTGCAAGTTTGAGTTACATAAGTTGGTCACACCCCTAACATCTCCAATAAGCTTCCATGACAGAACTCATGAGACTGAAGGAATGTCATGTATTCTCCAGAGTGTTTAAATGTGGCAGTGTAGGATGTTATCACCTACACCACTGCACTGGAACTGACTGTACACAAAGCAGATTTTCTGGTCAAAATCACCATCTGCTCATCCTTACCTTCAACACAAAGTTTAACAGCTCTACCTAAACCATTGCTTCACTGTTACTCAATTTAAGCTTCACTGTAACAGACTGGAAAACAGGATTTGGACTGGTATAGCATATGAAACAGGACTGCAATAACATTCACTCAGGGCAGTAAAAAACAGTTAAAGTAAACAAACTTTAAAACAATTCAGTTAAGTCTGCTGGAAAACATGTATCCATGCCTTATATTCCTAAATGGGTAGGAAATATCTGAGATTTTATTCAGGCTAATCTCACTCTGCAGTCAGCAGGAGCCTGCCTGTGTAAGATCTCTATATTTTTTCCAGTGCATCTTGCATATTTGCTTTTGATCCCAGCCAGAACAAAAAAGATGAGCAAAAGTTAAAAATAGACCACCACAGATTTGCTACTGGAACATTTATGAACTATGTAGCTTGGCCAAGGATCAAGAAACTTTCTAGCTTTTTCATATTTTATAAACACTTATGTCCTCATCCCTCCTTGAGATAGCACAGTTCTTTTTATTATCTCCTTTTAAATCATTATTAGCATTTGTTAAAATGCCTCCTTGCATACTGGTAGTGTAATGATATACCCTTCCACCTTCCCCACATTTGCACTAGCATCAAAAAACTGACTTGGCCTGCCCTTCCCAGCCTGACAGCAAGAATACCAGAGTATTATTTTTATCCAGATCAATTGACTGTTACCTCTTTTCAGGCCTTCTTCTTTCATTTGCTTCAAAGGAGATGGACCAAACTCCTCCTCCACGGGCCGAAACATCCTTTTCACCAGGACGCTGCTACTGGAAAACAAGCAACAGGCACCATGTCACAGAAAAACTGTGGTCCCAACAGGAGAGGAGACAACAGCAGCAGTCATGACACAGTTTGTATGCTGGCAAAACCTCCAATAGCTACTCAAGTAGCATCAGACCAGAAACTGCAAGGATTTAGCATTTGATGCTTATCTGAAGCCCAAGAGTTCAAATGGAGTAACACACTGAGCCAGACCCAGCCTGAAGCTGAGACTTGGCTCTGCCAGGGAAGCTGAAGGCACTGCAGCCTCCCCCCCTTCAGAGCAGCTTTGGCAGGACTTGGTGTCTCCTCTTACTCTTGGAGGAACTGAACCCAGTGTGCTTGATGCAATAAACCCCTTTGTTTCTCAAATTCCACTGTGAGCCTTATGAAGAACATAAGCTTCATTAAAAAAAAACAAAAAGGGCCTCATGTTTTCAAGTCAAAGCTACCTGTAGGTGACAGCCACTCCCTACTGCAGGCCACTTTTTGCAGGCTTATCTGAGTGCAGCTGTCTTGCTTCAAACTCTCAGATTTGAGGGTGCTCACCTGGGATTCAAGCAACATATAAAAACATGGGGCTTGCACACAGTACAGTTAATACTGGCTGAACTTAGCCACACATATTAAAGCCCTTATTTCATTATATCTCTAACTACATTAGGGACTTTCTGCAATTCTCCCAGACCCTCCAAAACAAGATAGGGGGTCCTCCCATTTCCAGCCTTCTCCCTTCTCAGGATCTCCTGTTCTCTTTCTGCCTTTCTCTTCTGGAGTTTGGGCATTCTGTCTGCAGTTCCTGTATTTTTCACATACACATGTGTGCTGCTAAACAGCTTCTATGAAATGGGTGAAGTTCAGTGCTTCCTGTAAAAATTCATGTGGTTTTTCTAAAATTATTTGAGAACCCTTACATATACATATATAAAATACTCTTTATTATCAAACACATTTTCCTGTCCATGTATAAAATCCTATGGCTCTTTAAATTGTTTTATTTTAAAAAATAATAAAAATAGTTCTAAAAAGCAGCAAGTTCACAGGAAAGAAAAGGAAGTTACCATAAAATATACCTCTCTCTACCAGTTATTTACCCACCATTAGTGATGGGAGAACATGAGGGACGGGGAAGAAAGGGGATCAGTTTTATCTGATTTCATGTTTTGTGCCTGCTTTCTATGAGTTTGAACTGCTAACTGCAAAGCTTGTGAAATAAGAAATGTCTTACCCTTCTCTTTCATCATCTGTATTATAGTAAACCTAGAAGGATGAAAAAAAATGCAAAAATTATTCCCAAGACTAGTCATGTGCTTAACAGAGTAACTTTAGAAAAGGGAAAAAGACAACAAGCAGCTCCCAAATTTTTCATCTGTTAAAAATTCTTTTCCTTCTATAAAACACAAACATCTCTAGTTCTAATTGTGATATGGAAAAAGTATGGTTTAGAAAAACTGCTGTTGAATATCACCCAGTGGAAATACATCAAAGCATTTTGACAGACATTGCCATCTCTTCTGGTTTATATAATTTTCCCAATTATTTCACAATCCTCTAAACCAGATCACTACTCACCTAAAATTACCCTTAATAGGATTTAAGCTACAACACTCACAAGCTTTTGTATGTATTTAATACTGTCTGAAAATCTAATTAAACTATAAAGACCAACATTAATCTACAGGCCTAGTGGCAATACAATTCCTCACGCTACAGCTGAACTTTTTTGTACAGGCTGTGGACAGAATTGCAAGTCCAGACTGCTGTTTTGCATAAATCAGTACAGCTCACAGTCACTGGGACCAAATTTACAACAGCAGCAAATACAGCTAACAGTGGCAGGGGAGGCATAAAATCACAGTCTGTTGTCAAAGGCTTTACAGAACAGCCAGCCAAATTCCTCACAATGTGCCTGCACTGTGGGTCCACACCAAGTGAAGCAGCATTCCAGCTGCTGAGTTACTTTGCAAGCATGGGGTGAAGGCAGGGCACGAGAGCCCTGTGTTCTGCTGGGGCAGAGCAAGGCTTCTCAGGCAGGTTTCCAGCACTTGTGCTGGCAAGACTTGGAGCACATTTTCAAGGGGAGCCTTCACTTCTGAACCTGTACAATGAAAATAGTTCAGAGGGGTGTGTGGGCAAAACAGAAGTCTGTAACTCATTCTATGACAAGGACCTGAAAGTGGCTACACTTTCATAACAAAACATTCATAAATAATAAATTATCATCATAATAAGTCAGTCTTATATTAAGTAACACAAAACCCCCACTATTTAAAAGTTCAGGATAGCAAGAAGGGCGATACTGCAACTATTCAGCAGTAAATGAAAGACAGGGTTGAACACTTCCTTAGAGCTAGCAAACTAGGTTATCTTCGAGTTAATTTAGAAAAATATTTACAGGATTACATATACTAAGGAATGCTTCCACCTTTTTCCTGTTTTGAGATAAATCCACATTCTGGTTGGAAAGCCATGAGGACAGAAGGTACCCAGCACTGATATGAGAGTGGGCGTCTTTCCAATTTTGGAGAGCAAGTCAGTGACAGCTGTGATAGCAATGTCTGCACTCTATGCTTTGCTCTCCCCCAGTTCTCACTGCTTTAAAATAAATGACAATTTCAACACTCAGTGTAATTTCATCTTAATTATTTTAATACTCTGCAGCAAGATGCGTATAAAATTTCCTCATCTATTTGTCTTTAGAAACACATACATAAAGGTCTCATTCCACTCCCTGAGAAGTTATTAAACAACAAGTTAATAATCAAAAAATGGTCAGACCTGACCCTCCAATTCAGGTTTGCAATTTCCCAGCAAGCAATAAAGTAGGTCTTAAAAGAGTCAAGTCAGCAAAGACTTCCTCACATTTACTGGTAATAATGACTGTCAATACTGAATATTGAACATTAGCCTGATAGATTTTTACTTTGTAGAGCGAAAATATTTCCTTCCAAGGAATTCTCAGCTCTCCAGGTGATGCCTACAGAAGATAGGCAGAGGTGTTCAGCAAGCTTATTCTTGACCTCCCTACACATCATGTAAGAGCTCGGTCTTTGTTTTTGGTTATCACACGGAGGGGGATCCCAGCTACCACCAGATGGCACTTCATTTCATCAAGCTAAATAGCACATTCAAAACCAGACTTTCTTTCAGTCACAAATCAACATTCTATTTCAAAATTCTTGAGCATTTGTTCTGTTTTTCTTCCTAGCAAAAGAATGGCAAAACCATAACAAACACAAACTTACCAGTTGTTAATGAAGTATAAACTTTTTTCACACCCAGAACTGCAAAGGCACTTACTTGTCTCTTGTCAAGTCTTTTTTAAAGGAGTCACCAAAAGCTGCATTTACCAAAACCAATGGCCCCCCAGAAGTGCTCAGCTTTCCTAAAACCTGCCCCAAAGCACATGTGGCTGGACAGCAGGTGGGCATCAGCTCATCTCATTATCATTTCCTACCTGTCCACTTCTTTGTAGGTTTCCAAAGTGAACATCTGGTATGAAGAGAACCGGCTGGGAATCCAGGTCAGCCATTGTTTTGAAGAAGGTGATATCACTCTTTTTTTGCAGAGGGAATGCACTCAACTTCCCTTCAGCTGCCAGGGGGGTCACAAAGCAACACAGTTAGGAGAGAATGAATGTTAAGTGTGACTCAGTCCCAGACCAGAAAGGCCCATCTTACTCACAGTTATTGCAGGAGGCTTGGGATGCCTGGCCTTTGCCTTTCTTTCTGTTCTGCTTCCTCTCTTCATCTCGGATTTTCCTTTCTGCTCCCTGATGCAAAAAAGACAACCCATAGATATTATTCCAAGAGGCCTCTGTGAGCATCGTATCTCGTGATGCCTGGAACTACAGTGACGGACATATCAGAAATGCTGGGACAGAGACTGGTTATCCCATTACAGATAGATCTGTGCAGGTTTTTGGGAACATGCCAGTGCCGGACTGCTCACCTGTGCTCAAAACTCAGGCTGGCACATCCAGCAGCCCCCAGGGCTTGAGATAGAAGAGGAAAATATCCACATGCTGGCTTGGAGGAGATGGGATGGCCTAGGCAGCATGCAGGCCTAGGGCTGTTGTCACCACAGCTTGTGCCAAGGGCATCCCCAGCCCAGCGCCCCTGCGACGGATGGGGCGCTCAGGCCCACTACACTGCACAGGTACTGAGGTGGAACACCTGCAGGGTTGCTATCATCTCACATCACGTCTGTACTAAGCTCTTCCCTAAACTCTGCACCACTCACCTGCTCTGGGGGTGGCATTGCACCACTGTGGCCAGCTTTGTAGAGGCCTTTGAGATTTGCCAACGCCAAGAAGGCTACACTGATAGCTTGCCAGCAGTGCCTGGGCTCTTACAGAAAAGTACAGGCATTTCAAACAGGGAGAAGCCCTCCAGAAACTCAAAAGCAATGTAGCTCTGCCCTATTAGGCCCCCAGGAACTGCTGAGAAGCTGCAGGCTTCTATTATGTAAATACACTCTCAACAAGTTTAGAAAATAAAACTTGTTATTGACATAAAAAGCAGCAACACCTGCTTTGAAGTTCTACTAATTTACTTTATAAATATGAATAGTCAAGTTGTGAAGGGTATTAAAGATCCATATGCTTCCAGACAGTCAGCATGTAAAATGGAAGATTGTTTTCAAAACTAAAATTAGAAGTTTCTTTAAAAGAAAGGGGGTAGAGAGGTAAGCCAAAAATATCCACTCAAGATGGCAAAATTCACACATGAACCAATGAGCCAAGCTTGCAAAGAACGCAAGGAAAGATGAACTCCTGTGATCTATCAATAGATTTCCACAGGTTGAAAGATGCGGAAAAAGAAACATGGAATTGTCTAATAGCAAGATTGCCTCCAGGTCCCAATCCCATTGTCACTGACCTCAACCACAGAAGACAAAGAATTCAGAGTCATGCCCTTATCAAATTTGTTTCTAGGGGTACATTTGTATCTGTAAAGTTTCCTGCTTTTTGGCAGAAAGGAGTAAAAAATATGCCTCACAGCCCCTGTCCTGCAGAAGGCACATCCCCCAGAGCCCTGTGCTGCATGAAGCAGCTCTGCCAGGCAGCCACAGCCCCTCACTGCTGCTCAAGACTGCCACCCCACTGCTCACAGGTAGTGGGGTGAAACTGGGAAGTCATTTACTATATGGCAGCAAGCCTGAGATTCCTCTCAGGAAAGCAGAAACTGAGGAGGACTCAGCCTTTTGTACACAATGAAGAATAAATGTTTTGCTGATCCTCCTTTGAAATTCTGTTACCATGAACTTCATAAAGCTTTACAGCTTTGTCTTCATTAATTCAAGGCAAGACACCCTCAAGTTCTCTGGGGTGCAGGCAATCTGTGAGCAGGGCAGCTATTCCCACCTGCCAGTGCTTATTTGTGCCACAGACACTTTACAAATGCAGCAGCTGCAATGCCCACAAAACTACCAACCATCCCATCTGAGCTAGGAGAATCCCATGAGGCACAGTGCAGAGGCCAGACCAGCCTGCACGAGGCACATCATTGTAGTTGCTGAGACAATGGACCACAATACATTTTTTGCATTCCAAAGCATTTCTACTGGACAGTTTTCACAAATATCTAATAAATAAGAGTTTGCATGTCTTCAGGATACAAGGAAAAAAAAACCCTATCATAAAGGGCCAATAAGTTAGGCTCTGACCAGTCAAACAATTGAATGAGTTCTTAATTTTTTCATTGATGTTTGGACTTTGTATACATGTAATGAGTACTTCTGCTACCAACCATTAGCAAAATGCAGCCTGTGAATTTCAGATTATTCAAAAATATTTTTTTTCCAAGTCTTCAGCTCATTTAACCTTATGTCTTGCATTCTAGCTCCAAGCTAGCAAAGCCCTTACCATTATAAGGACCACTCCCATCACCATTATGAAGCTCAAATGTACACCTGTTTTTAGTTCAAGGCTCAAGAGTTCCACATCTGCTAAGACAGGAGCACAGACTTCAGTCTTCTATTCTCTAAAGCTGAAGACCAACAGGCAATTAGAGTTACTCAATACCCTATGATAATACATTTTCTCTATGATAGTCCATTCTGAAGACAAGAAGGTAAGAACTGCATATATTCCAAGGAACGTGTAGTTTTTCAGAGTCATGAAAACAGGATTCATTTATTTTATTTTCGAACAATGTTATGGTATTTGCCAAGTCAAATGCTTCTGCTTCTTTCCAGGAAGATTAATAACATATAGAAAGTCAAAATATCTCTGAATCCTCAGTTCTTTCATACACATTGGCTAAAGCATCTTGCAATATATAAATATAAATAGGCCTGGTAGCAAGTTTCCCTGACAACCTACTTAAGGAATAAAAATTATATTCTTTTATCATAATGCAGTATCAGTGATCTGCACATGACAAAAAGATTCCAAGGGCAGAGAGAATTAGCACTGAGAAAACAACATGTGCACTGTAAGAGTTGCTTTGAAGATTGCCTACTGGAAAATAAACAGGGACAAAATATTGGAGAACAAACTGGGAGAAAGCACATTATTACATCCTTTGCAGCCTGTATCTCCATACATTCATGTCACAAAGCACACATTTTATGCAAGTTGGTGTTGCTCTCTAGTTTATATGTAAATCAATACTAAATTTAAGCAACTGCCTGAGTAAATACTAAAATACATATAATATGTACCACTTAGCTAATGCAGTTTTACTTCTTCAGGGATAGTCTTTCCACAAGAGCTATGCTGTTTCAGCTAGATGGCATTAATTTATCAGCAAATGTTTTTCTTAAAAACTGGAGACCAGTACCTGTCATTTATCCAAGTTAATATACAAACATATCTACTGGTGCTAAAGAGGCACCATTGCTGCAGGGAAAAAAACAAAACAAAACAAAACAAAACATTTGTAAGAACTCTGTCAGGCAAAGAAAGTTTTTCTTCCATGTTTCAAACTCGGATACATTTCAGTAGTTAGACATGAGGAAGGCAATGTGCAGCTCCTCTCCTCCAGTTGATTGTAATAAATCAGGCACTTTTCACTTTTCTCATCAGCTTCTCTTTGGGGTTGTCAGATTGGGGCATATCAGTGCAATTCACACTTTTAAAATGTATAAAAAATATTATATGCTTGCAGGTTTGTTTTGTTTGGTTTTTGTGGGGTTTTTTTTGGGGGGGGGTTATTGTGTTTGTTTGTTTTTGTTTTTGTGGGGGTAGTTTTTTTGTTTGTTTGAATGAACCTGTAATATTTTTGCAATTGATCATGACAGAGGTGGGCAATAATTCTCTCAGCCTCGGGTCCTTTCCCACCCAGGCAGCAAACCCTGCCATTGTCACGAGAGGGCGACTCTTTTAGAGATTTCTCTTCTCAGAGAAACCGAGCCAAGATTCCATCCAGCCACTGCCTCAACGACGGACGGGGGGGGGCTTCTTTTGGCACCTTGGAAAGACGAGGGTACCCAGCCCCACCAAATACCTTCCTCTGAGCGTGATGAGTCCTCCGAGTGCCACCAGCAGATGGAAATTCTCCAACTGTCTTTACTTACAAAAGCACCATGACACAGCAGAGTAAGTGAGGGAGAAACCAGGCTTCAGTCTCTTTCCAAGTGTCAATGAGCACAAACTCAATTAGCACAAACTGACATGTGAATTGACCTCAATAATTTGCATTCATTTAACTCATTTTCAGCCCTGCTTTAAGTAGGCTTTCTGTGCATGTATGTGTGTATACATTTATATTATACAGATTTATATCCCATAACCAATACCCTTGAGCCCTCTAGTTCCCACTTCCATTACAGTTTTCATGTGGATAACACTTTAACTACCCCTGTGATCTTTTCTTCTACTTTGAGACAGTTTTGATTAAAAGACTCAACATTTATTTCCTGCTTTGTAGTCTTTATATTTGAAGTACCAATTAAGCCAATAGAGGCAATGAACATGTATTATTCAAAATCTCCACCACTTGTGTCTACAGGTCACCCTTGATGAGTTTGTGCTGTGAATTTCCTTCTTTTTAAAAAAAAATAATAATTCAGATTTTTCTAATTGCTTTTCAAAAACAGGTAGATAAAAACAACTTCTTACTTTGATATTTACTTAGCTTTTAACATCCAGCTGCACCTTCAAATCTCTAAATATTTGACATTCAAAATTACAATTAAAAGCATAACATTTTGACTGCAAGAAGACCACAGTGCATACATTTACATTCATTACTTTCAAAGTTTTTGCTCCACTAACACAACTGATTAGCCCTCAAGATCCTTTCATCAAGACAACAACAGGGGAATGAACAGAAAATAGGGGAGGGAGCAGCAGCACAGAGACCTGGAACAGTTGAACTCCTACCCTTTCCATTAAAAAGTTAATGCTACATATAGCCTGTGGCATGGCCTTTTGCCTCCTATTCCCACTTGTAAGATGGCAAGACTAATTTAACAGATGTACACCCCCGAACCTCGACTAGAATCTTAGGCATCTGCTCTCCTCTGGAATATCTTTCCCAGCAAGGATAAAGTCATCAAGCTGGTAGGTGTTAAACTCAACTGAAATATGGTCACACTCACATGTAAGAAACATCACTGCAACAAAATTTCTGAGCAACTGTTTCTACTCAGCTGACCATGACACTAACAGACTTGTGAAGGCACGACCTGCCTTTCAGTGCTGAAAAATCTTAACAAATCCCACAAAGGAGTGAGGAGACCCATTGTAAAAGAACCAAATTTTGTAAAAGAAGGAGTAAGCAAAAAAAGCAAGAGGGGGGAAAAAATTGGAGATCTGTAACTAGTGGAGTCCCTCAGGGGTCAGTACTGGGACCAGCACTATTCAATATTTTCATCAATGACCTGGATGAGGGAACAGAGTGTGCCCTCAGTAAGTTTGCTGATGACACTGAACTGGGAGGAGTGGCTGACACACCAGAAGGCTGTGCTGCCATTCAGTGAGACCTGGACAAGCTGGAGAGTTGGGCAGGGAGAAACTTGATGAAATTCAACAAGGACAAGTGTAGAGTCTTGCATCTGGGGAAGAACAACTCCATGTACCAGTACAGGTTGGGAGCTGACCTGCTGGAGAGCAGTGTGGGAGAAAGGGACCTGGGGGTCCTGGTGGACAGGAGGATGACCATGAGCCAGTAATGTGCCCTTGTGGCCAAGAAAGCCAATGGCATCCTGGGGTGCATTAGAAAGGGAGTGGTTAGTAGGTCAAGGGAGGTTCTCCTCCCCCTCTATTCTGCCTTGGTGAGGCCACATCTGGAATTTTGCGTCCAGTTCTGGGCCCCTCAGTTCAAGAAGGACAGGGAACTGCTTGAAAGAGTCCAGCACAGAGCTACAAAGATGATTAAGGGAGTGGAACATCTCCCTGATGAGGAAAGGCTGAGGGAGCTGGGTCTCTAGCTTGGAGAAGAGGAGACTGAGGGGCGATCTCATCAATGTTTACAAATATGTTAAGGGCAAGCGTCAGGAGGACAGAGCCAGGTTTTTTTCAATGATGTCCAGTGATAGGACAAAGGGCAATGGGTGCAAACTGGAGCATAGGAGGTTCCATGTAAATACCAGAAAAAACTTCTTTCCTGTGAGAGTGACAGAGCCCTGGGACAGGCTGCCCAGAGAGGTTGTGGAGTCTGCTTTGCTGGAGACATTCAAAACCCACCTGGACAAGTTCCTGTGTGATGTGCTCTAGGTGACCCTGCTCTGGCAGGGGGGTTGGGCTGGGTGATCTTTTGAGGTCCCTTCCAACCCCTAGGATTCTGTGATTATTACTGAACTGCAAAATGGGAATAGCTCACATATTTTTGCAGTTTATTTTAATTAAGAAAATCCTAGCAACATAGACATCCAGCTGAAGCTTCCAAAAGAACAGTATGTGTTCAAGTAGGGGGCACAACACACCAAACATCAGCTGCACCACTGGGACTTGGTGGTATCACAAAAAGAGAGCTTAGAAAGCTTTTCTGAAAGGTGCATTTCTTTATCAGAAACCTCTCCACAAAGTTTATACATTACCTATCCTGGCTGTGAGAGCCAGAAAGGGTAAAATCTTCTGGCTGGCACTTGTGTGAGTCTATGATCAGAACTGACCTTTCAATTAGAGGTCTTTACATTTGTGGTTTCTATTTCTTTTTTAATATCCCTGTATCATGACATATAACATGCTGTCCTTAAACAGTCCAATTATTGCTCACAAGCTGAGAAATGACTGCCAAAAAGGCTGCAAAGCAGTAAAATAATTACATGATTCTCTGTTAGATTTATGATATAACTGGTCCAAA